CACAGGCACAAGTTGCTGCTTCTCTTTTGAAGCTGGGAAGCACGGGACAGATCCAGCCCTGCACTGGAGTTTCCGCAGCTCCTTGCTCAGCTCCTCAGCACAAACCAGCTGTGGAGCCAGGACTCCAGCCCCAGACTTCACAGAAGACACAGAAAACATCTGAGAATAAGAAAAACAGTTAAACTGTTCCAACCAAAGACCACTTGCTGACCTTTATTGAGGTGCACAGCTCACCCACAGAAGTCTATCACTACCCATTTCCCTTCCACTGACTTTGGCTGCCCATAGCACCACCAGGCAGCCTCCTAAAGACTCCCAGGTAGCTTTTCCCACTCCTCTCCAGTCCTCACCGTGCCCCTGCCCCGTGGCACTGAAGCACGAAGCTCTTGGGACCGGTTGGACCCTGAACCGCACCTTGGAGGTAACGGGGACTGCACGTTAGAGCATCCCCTGCCTTTCTGGAGAGAAGGGATTTATTAGTGAACCTGCTCAGAGCCGTGTTGTGGTGGCAGCAGAGGGCAGCAAAGCCCTGCCAGGGCGGAGCTGTGCCCCAGCCATCAGAGCCTCAGGAAAGAGCGAACCTGGAGGAGAAGCCGTGTGGAGGTGGCGCTGCTTTTACACTTCAATTCATGAACTTGCCCTTTTGGAGCTCATTAGACCCCGAACGCGCTGTTCTGCCCCTGGCTTGGCTCCGAGCAGCCCCGGTCCCTTGCTGAGGCAGAGAAGCTGTCGCCAACACAGGCTGCAGAGATGGAGCCACAGGCTCTGCCTGAGACACAGCCTCCCGGTTCCCTGTCCCCTGCCAAGACAGACCCTGTTGCAATGGGATCTTCAAGCTGTTGATATTAATCTGTTGACATCATATTTCCCATTAGTTCTTAAATGCAAGTCCTGGGAAACCTTTACTCCTCTTTTCCCCCTCCTAGGATATAGATAGAAGTCAGGGGAGAGCAGGCACCCAAGAATACAGCAGCAGATGGAGGATGCCCAAACTGACACTGCAGAGGGGTAACAGCAACATGTAAAGTTCACAGCAAAGATGCAACAGCTCCAGGGCTGGCGAACACGGCTAGCAAGTGCAGGGGATGGAGCAGGAAGGGGAATGACAGACTGGGAGAGCTGGGCTGGGGCAGCTGGAGAAGAGAAGGCTCCTCAAGGGGACACCTTAGAGCAGCTCCAGTGCCTAAAGGGGCTCCAGGAGACCTGGAGAAGGGCTTTGGACAAGGGCCTGGAGGGACAGGACAAGGGGAATGGCTTGAACCTGCCCGAGGGGAGATTGAGATGAGCTCTTGGGCAGAAGCTCTTCCCTGTGAGGGTGCTGAGGCGCTGGCACAGGGTGCCCAGAGAAGCTGTGGCTGCCCCATCCCTGGCAGTGTTCAAGGGCAGGTTGGACACAGGGGCTTGGAGCAACCTGCTCTAGTGGAAGGTGTCCCTGCCCGTGGCAGGGGTTGGAACTGAAGGAGCTTTAAGCTCCCTTCAACACAAGGTCCCAGGCTGGATTCTGTGATTCTGAAATGCAGCAGTTGTGCCCTGCTGTGGGAACATTCTTCAGCTCAACACCTTGGTCCTGCGGTCAAGGTGAGCTGCAACCCCTGCAGGAGGATGCTCCAGAGACAAGGCAGAAATGGCTCTGCTCACAACGTAAAGGTTCTAAAGGTCACACAGCCACCAGCACCATTGCACCGTGCTTCTGCACCAGAAAGCATTTGGAGATACGCTCTGGGGGGAAAAACTGTCCAAGCAACTCAACTGTTTTCCCCAGCAACAAGCTGTGTGACCTGCAACTTCCTGAAGTAAGAGACCAAACAAAAGCAACCCAGGTCACAGCAGAACAGTCTCTCAGCGACCCGGGCCCACCACAAATCCACAATGTGTATATTTTATTTAAATTAACAAAACTACACGTTTTCCAGGTTGCTTAAAGCATTCTGTAAAAACTGAACCTGACCTAACCAAAAACAGGAATATATTTTAACAAGAGCCAGGGACTATTTCCGAGACATGAGTAGGGCTGAGGAATTAGGAAGTAAAAAACCCCCCCACACACACACATACACACCCCCCGTAAACAGAGTGTTAGTGTTTGACACATGATTTGGTTTGAAAGCTGCAGCTCCCCCGTCCTGAGGAGCCTTTACAAAACACAGTGCTACCCTAAGCTGTGGAACAAACCGTGGACACATCTATGGGAACAACATAAATATCACGTAAGAACCCAACCTAAAAAGGACTTTAAAGTTGCAAAGTCGAGCACTCGGCAGGAACACGCTGGAGTTAAGGTGATGTGCGTTGATTCAGTTCACTTTGTACCTCAACTACTGCAAGTAGAAACATTGCTTGTTTCTTGTTGGGGGTTGGAACTGGATCTTAAGGTCCTTTCCAGGCCAAACCATTCTGTGATTCAATCCTTGGACCTGCCAGTGCTTACTTTCCATGCGTTTTCCATGCTCACAGGTTACATTTTGCCATCATGCTGAAGCTGCAGTGCCAGCACTTACTCCACATACAGCAAGTGTGCCCCCTCCTTTAGTTTTCCCTTTAAAACACATTTCCCTTCTGTACAGGGGCACCGTCAGCCCACTTTGAAACAAACCAACCAAACTTGTAAGAAATGATTAGTGTTCCATTCAAGTATCCCAAATAATCCAGAGCTACGACCTGAAGTAGTTCTTGGCCCTTTTCCTGTGCTACAGTGACTCCATGTGCTCAGATGCAGCAACACATGAGGGACTTCACCCGGAGCGATGGGTTCAATGTTCCTCATCTCTAACCCTGCATCCCAGCTGAGGTGCTGCTGAGACCTTAGAGCAGCTCCAGTGCCTAAAGGGGCTCCAGGAAACCTGGAGAGGGGCTTTGGACAAGGGATGGAGGGACAGGACAAGGGGAATGGCTTGAACCTGCCCGAGGGGAGATTGAGATGAGCTCTTGGGCAGAAGCTCTTCCCTGTGAGGGTGCTGAGGCGCTGGCACAGGGTGCCCAGAGAAGCTGTGGCTGCCCCATCCCTGGCAGTGTTCAAGGCCAGGTTGGACACAGGGGCTTGGAGCAACCTGCTCTAGTGGAAGGTGTCCCTGCCCGTGGCAGGAGGTTGGAGCTGGAGGAGCTTTAAGGTCCCTTCCAACACAAACCATTGTAGGACTCTGTGAATTATCTGAACACCTCAGCTGAAGTATTGACTCATCTCCAGAAACATGGGAAAGGGAAAGCAAAAAGCAGGGACTGCTGGTGCTGTATTTGGTTACTAACATGCTTGACATGGTGACAGGGGTGGTGAGAGCTGAATGGGGCAGCAGCAGCCCCACGCAGACAGTGGGTGGGTGCACAGGGCAGGCAGGGACCAGCATCACGGAGCATGAGCTGTTTGCTGGGGTGGGAATCATGATGAACCAGCACCTCCCACTGCAAAGCAGAGCCCTCCCTGCACAGCCTCAGCTCCTGCCCAGAGCCCCAACTCACACACAAACCCCAATGTGACAGTAGAGCCAGCAGACATGGGCTTCAACTGCAGAGTGATGCACACGTTGGCTAGAGGCAGATTAAGGTTTCATAGATTATCTCATTTCTGGTATTTCTCATTTTACTTCCATTTTCAGCCTTAATACTCTGATAATTGATCTTTCACAAATTTTAAGAATCCAAGAACAACATGTCCCTTTTTCCACGACCAGTACCTGCAATGACTGTGGGTGGCTTTGGAAGCTTCCCCTCTCTCCCTCATCTCTGACCTGCCACTGACAGACAGCAGGAGATTCTTTTAGGGACAAAGCCAGGAGGGTGAGTTACATGTTACTAGCACTTAACACAGATGTTTGCTAAGCCAGTTAATGAGGCTCTCTGGATCCTCCAGGCTCTGAAAGATGTGCCCTGAGCAGCACAGACCCTTCTGGCCACGCTTCTCCCCACACACACCATTAATGCTTCTCTTAGCTGGTCCCAGCAGAGCCCAGTTTAAGCTCCAGCCCCGCTCTGTCCCCACTCCCCTGACCTACTGCAGTGTCACAGCCAGACCTGCCCAGACACAGCACAGGGCTGAGCGACCTCATTGCCCGATTCTGCTCTGTAAAAGCAAGTATCTACATCAGTCCAATAACCCATGGAAAATCCAGCTCTGCCAAGCGTGCTCCATGCCAGCACTGCAAGGAGGAGCTCAGAGGCACAGGAACCAAGAACACGCTGTCCCTCTGTGGCCTTTCTCTTCTCCCCATGGCATGTAAGCACAGAAGAATGAATGAGCCATAAGAAAAAGAGGAAGACAACAAAATCAAGGGAAGCCAGAGGGGCTGAGAATAGGCTGTGGGACCCGTACCTCTAGGAACTGAACATAGGAGCCCTTCTTGCTCCTGCAACTAGCTCAGGCATCCACTTTTACACTCCCCTATATTTAACAACCAGCTGTAAAGCCTACTGAGAAAGCATGCTGCTGCTTCTACTAGAACCTTACGTATTGCACACAGGCTACTCCTTCCCCCAGCTGCGCTGCACTCAAGTGACAGAGGTTTGCTGCAGGGCTGTACTAAACACCTCAAACAAGGCTCAATACAATTATAGATGGTGGAATTAAACGTTCTTACAGTGAGGTTTTCCCCAACTAACACCTTGTTTAAGCTGCACACAAGAAGGAATCTCCAAGTACCAAATCCATGCTCCCTGCCTGAGCTCCTGGCACCACCTTTATGCACGGGCACACAACAGCCAAATAACAACTGCCCAACATCAGCTCTGCCCCTTCCAACGTCTGAACAGGCGACTTTGCAACCTTAATGCTTTTCTGTCTGGTTTTTACGTGCTGGAGTGTAACGCAATGGACATATCCCTCCCCCCAGAAATGACTACACCAGGTTAAAAAGAGTTTACAAATGCTCTGCTCGGTGCCACTGTCTGTGAAACACACGAGGCACGGGGTGCTCGAGGAGCAGGGCAGGTTGGGCAGGGTTCCTGCCACGGGCCTTGGGCTGTCCTCTGCTCTCCACCCCGGTCTGGGTCCCAGTGAGGCCACCTCAGCGTTACTCCTGAGCCTCCTTCCGAGCCAGCTTGTAAACCTCCGTGGGACCATCCACGTGGGTGATGGTGGTGGTGAGCTGGAGCTCTTCCCCGCTGTTGACTCCCAGGTCACCTGAGGAACAAAGTGGTTCTGTCAGCCCCATCTCACAATGAAATACTTGTGAATTAGAAAGCAAAAGATCCATTTTATCCCGACCAGGCTTTCAGGAGCTACCCGAGCTATGGACTATGCAATGCTTCTACAAATGTCTTTCTGCTAGGGAGAAGCCGTTCCCCCAGGACAAGGGGAATGGCTTTAACCTGCCCGAGGGGAGATTGAGATGAGCTCTGAGGCAGAAGCTCTTCCCTGGGAGGGTGCTGAGGCGCTGGCACAGGGTGCCCAGAGAAGCTGTGGCTGCCCCATCCCTGGCAGTGTTCAAGGCCAGGTTGGACACAGGGGCTTGGAGCAACCTGCTCTAGTGGAAGGTGTCCCTGCCCGTGGCAGGGGTTGGAGCTGGAGGAGCTTTAAGCTCCCTCCCAACACAAACCAGTCTGGGGTTCTATGACTAATAAAAATGTCTGGTAGGAAAACCAAGCCATCATTTGCACATTTCAAAGTGCTGAACATGCACTTTGGCCAAGAAGTAGAATACTCCAAAGGCATCACCCACATTCTCTCACTTTCTGCCCATGACAGCCTTCAGATCACTCAGAGGTGTTTACCATTGGACTGGTCTTCACCGTAGTTCTTGTGTGACGGCGCGTACAGGAACATGAGGGCGAACACGTAGAGGTTCCACATGCCGTAGATGCCGGTGAAAAAGGCACTGTTCACTTGTATCGTGATGTCCCCCCACTTCCAGTGGCCTTCAGTCACCTGCCGGGGAGAAAGAGAACACAGGCTGCTCAGTAAGGCCAAAACCTGTGCAAGTACAGAAGTGATCCCCTAAAGCATCAACCTGACCCCAAGGTTTGCCATGTAAAGGACAGTACATAGGAGACAGCTGGTTACATCTGAACACTTCATGACTCGTGTGAATAGAGCTTTTATAGTAGGAAAACCAGCCTGAATAACACAAAGAGTTCATGTGCTGAATGCTGCCTTGCTGCTTCCGGCTCAGAGAGAGGTCTGGGCTGACAGCACCAGCCTTAGACACACAGACTTGTAAAGGTTTAACAAAATGTCATCAATATTAGTACTACTTGAAGATACACGGACTGTTCACACTGAAATGTTGGCTTCCTGGTGAAGAAACAGGCATAAGAGGGAAAGATGAAAGCTAAACCAGTTTAATTTAAGCTAGCTAAACTAGTTTAGTGACAGGACAAGGGGGAATGGCTTTAACCTGCCAGAGGGGAGACTGAGATGAGCTCTTAGGCAGAAGCTCTTCCCTGTGAGGGTGCTGAGGTGCTGGCACAGGGTGCCCATTCTCACCATCTTCACAGGGAAGAACTTCTGCCTAATGTCTAACCTGCCAGTTTAAAGGCTTTTTCCCTTGTCCTATCCTACATGCCTTTGTCCAAAGCCCTTCTCCAAAATGACATCTTTGAAACAGATGCGATCTGAAAAGTCACTTGGAGTAAACCAAAGTCATTTACATATTGATGTAAGCTCATTTGTACAGAGGCAGCATCAGAGCTCAGAATGAATAAGTCCAGATACTGCTGGAAACAGCAGGGCTGCAGAGTCCACCGAGGAACACTGAACTCTGCTGTTTCTCTGTGGTCATACAAAGCCACCGGGTCCTTTCAATGTGAACAGAACATTTTTCACTCTTCCTGAGTTCTCAGAAATGACTTAAACCCTGTTGGCTGGTATTTCAAACAGCACAGCCCAACCCTTCCCATGAGCCAGGGGCCTTTGTGAAGGCTTCAGGCTGAGCAGTTTTATGGCAGTGCTTCAAATAAGTGAAAACAGCTTCTTAAACAGCAAGTTGTTATCGAATCTGCTGGCACCAGGCAGATCTTGTCTGCTCAGCAAGTGAGTTGGTAGTGGCTATGGAACTGGGGCTGCTGTTCTTAGAGGAAGCAGAGCTTTCTCACTCACCTGGCTCACGATGAAGAAGATGACGGTCATGGCTGCGCACGCCAGGGTGATGAGCATCAGGAACTTGAACCTAAAAATCAGCCCCTGTGTGGAGAGAAATGTCACTGGTCACATGAGCAGGCTCCACAACACCCATTTTGGGTTTTAGCATATACGAGAGACAAGCATTAAAAAAAAAGGCTAAGAAAAAAAAGGGTCCAACCCACGAAACCCCAAAGCAAAACAACCTCCACCCACTCCTCTGCGCCGGGGTCATATTCTCCGCTCCCCACACGTCTGCATGCCTGCCGGATGCTCCCGGGCGTGCGTGTCTGGACAGCTCTGCCTTTCCATTACATCTGCCTTTGTGACTGATCTACCAGGAGCTCACATGGAAGAGGGGGCAGGTCAGCCCAAGCCATGGGCTTTCCCTAGGAGATAGCTCCTGGCTTTTCTGTAGGACAAACATCTGTGGAGAGCCTGCGCGGCTCAGCTGGACGAGTCGGTGCTTCACCTCCACATCTGGCTGGGAGGGAAGTGCAGCAGTTCCCAACACTTGTCAGAGCTACACTGGCTTATTACAGAAGAACACAGATTATAAGATAAGATAAGGCTCAAGATCACTCGCTTGGAAATATGACTGCAAATCGTTCTTGCTTCCATTAACTTTACTTTTTTACTCACGAGCTCCTTGTGCTTTGTTTTTGTGTGTGAGCTGTTTTTCTTAACCTGTTTCTGGAAGCCTGGTGGAAGTGTCAGTGTCTGCATAACTACTGAGCCACACTGCAACAACAAACGACTATTAATTTAACTCTTCCAGATCAGATTCATGCTGTCTGTACACAGAGCACAGCCCCAGCAGCTCCACAATACAAGCTGAAGTCCTGTGCTAAAGGGAAAGATGGAAGAAGTGCTCAGTATCTTCTCTCAATTCCAGCTTCCTACTTTTTATGTGCATTCCTGATGGGTGATAACAGACTTGTTTATATCAGAAGTGACCATTCTTTAAGAGAACAACATTGGTGTGTCACCATTTATCACCCATGAAAACAACCATGAGGCACACTCAGCTTAAGCATCACACTGTGCTCCTCGTGCTTTGCAGCAGTTACACACAGCTAGGACAGAAACAACATCCAAAATCATCGGCTAAAAAAGGGATAATGGGCTAAACATGTCACAGTTTGATCCTAGCAGGACAGTTTCCCTCCTGCAACTTGGCTGGGAAAAGACAACCCCAAAAATACTAACTCACATCATAGTAAAACAGGGTGGTCTTAGCACTGCTTTCCATTAAATACAGTAATTAATATTACAGGGGGAGAAATGAGGTGTGGGAAACTGATGTGATTACAACCCATCGTGATTTAAATGGTAATTTGGGCAGTTTTCTTCTGTTCTCCAACACTGTTCAGTATCTGGGAGGTAGCAAGTACTGACAGAAAAGGAGAGGGAGCTTACATATCCTCCTCACAGGTTAAAGCATTCCACTGGGAATAAAGAGCCAAATAAAGAAGAAACTTCACACGAGTCAAACAAAAAGGCGTTTAGGGGATTTGAGCAGCACAAGAAAGCTGGTGAAGATCAGATGTCCCAGCTCAGGACTATAGGGATAGGGAAGGTCTCAGGGTAGACTTTGAGGTCAAAAATGCATTTATAACGTAAAGAATCTGTGCAACGAGGAGGGACGTTACCTCGTAATGAAGGCGACGAGCCTTGCTCATGGCTGGGAGGCTTGACTGCTTCCCACTGATGTTCCTGAACACTTGGAAGACCATAAAACACAGGAAGAGGAAATAGAGACACAGGCAGATTCCGGCAACTATAATAAAGGCCATCTGAGCAGCGAGTTAAGAGAACATGGTATGAGCTGAACAGGAACTGAGAACATTATTCAGGTGATTCCCTTCTTTTAGTGTCATCCCAAACATTACCACTGAACTCTTAGTGGATGAGCTTGGGGCTCTGTGACCCCAGACACCAAAACACTGCCAGGATGACACTGCCAAGGAGATTTGGGAAGCTGTTGCCAGCCAACCATCTCCAGCAAGGCTCCTGTAAGAGGGATGGGTGCTATGAAATGGGGACTGATCCCGTTAGCTTATCCCAGCCCAAGAACCAAAATGAATGGCAGCAAAACAAGCCCTTCCAGTGGGATCTGGAAGAGCAATGCATGGAAATGCCTCAGCAGCACCTGCCTGAACACTGGCAGCAAATGAAGGGTCCCAGAGCAGACGCTGTCAAGGCTGGAGCTGGGGGTTTAACTATCACGGGTGCTGGGGTTATTGTGATGACTCCCAGGACTGAACCCCCCCGTGCTTTCCCACAGATCTCAGACACGAGGAGAGATTCAGTTCTCCAGTGACAGCCAGCACAGCACCAGTCCCTGGAGGTACCAGCTCCAAACCTGCCAGACTGCTTCTTCCAAATGCCACCAGCATCTCCCACAGCTCCCGAGCTGCCCTCACAGCCCTGGAATGCCAGGAGGAGGGGTTCCCACACCCTCCCTCTCCCACCAACACAGACCAAGCCTGCCCCGAGCCGGGTGCAAGGATACAGCCAGCTCCGTGCCAACTTCAGTGGTCCAGATGCTGTAGAAGGGGTTCTTCAGCTGCACTCCCCTGCAAAGAGGAGAGAAAACAGAGCTGCTACAGAAGCCAATGAGCTCAGAGAACCCCATGTCTGCTCTGCAGCCTGCAAAGAGCCACCCATGCTGCTTTCCCATGTGGGCGAGGAGGAGACGAGGTGGGAAGTGTTTCTTTACAGCCCTTTGGGATAAGATGCACTGCTGTGACATGCCAGCATGCTTCGGTGTGCTCACAGGAGGCTTCATGAGATGGGGCTGTATGTCCAGCCATAGGGGTTAAACTACAGGTCCCTGCTGCAGGAGGTGGCCAGGAGCCTCAGTTCGCAGCGTACACCTACCTCTCACACATGTCAAAGATGAAGAGGCAGAAGGAGCCAACAGCTATGGGTCCAACCTGCTTCCAGTACCCCGAGAGACGATTCCGCTCGTTCTGGTCCTGATCAGAAGGTCAGGAGGTGAGGAGGAGGAGGACAAAACAGAGAAGCAAGTTAGCCTGAAGTCCTCTTGCCAGGTGCAAGCCCCAGTGCATTGTTTCCAACACATCAACAAGCACAAGGGAGTTGCAGGGTATCACTGCAAGTGGGGTGGAAGCCACCTTCCCTTCTGTGTGGTACCCACCATCATGTGCTCCCCACAGAAGATGATCCAAAAAGACAGGAGCATGGCATAGAAAATGCCTTGTCGAATGTCTCCAAAGAGCAACATCCAAGTCCAGTCAAATCCAATGGAAAACCACTCCACAGGGATGTTAATGAACGTCATGGAAATTCCCAGAGCAAAGATGACCCTGGAGAGACAGAAACACCATCTCTTTCTACTTTGCAAGGAGAGGACAGAGTCCCAGTGGCCAAAGCTGTGCATGAGGAGCAACACAAGAACACCCAGCACTGCTGGGCAGTGTCACCTCCTGCCAGCAACCCCCTGGGGACTAAGCCCCTCTAAGCAGCTGTGGACAAAAGCAGCTCCTCATCCTGTGTGGGTTTAATGGGCAAGAAGAGAAGCTATCGAGGTCTCCTGCTCCCAGTGAGCCTGGGTGGAGGGAGGGGACAGGGATGAGACCATTCCTGTCTTTCCAAACACGGATTCTGGGAGCAACAACCACCTCGGTCAGGTTGCTCTTGCTTGAGGGTCACCACAGCCAACGCACAAGCCCCTACTCACTTCTCCAGCAGGACAGGAGCACGTGTCATCAGCGTGATCCGTCTCCAGTACCAGACCATGATGATTAAAATGCTGGGTGTGAGGAAGGTCTTCATGGCAAACCACACCTTTGTAAAGCCTCCGTTCTGATGGATGCCCTAAGGAAAACCAGGGTGGAATGCAATGGCTGCAGAGGGTTTAACATCACTATGTGCTTCTTAGAGGATCTGACAGGAGAGGCATGTAGGCAGTAGTACGTGTAAGCACCTGTAGATCACACAATCCCAGACTGGTGTGTGTTGGAAGGGACCTTAAAGCTCCTCCAGCTCCAAGCCCTGCCACGGGCAGGGACACCTTCCACTAGAGCAGGTTGCTGCA